CAATCCCCCCACCTCAGCTTCCCACATGCCACCATGCCTGGATAACTGTTTGTTTGTTTTACTTTTTGTAGAGATAGGGTCTTGCTGGTCGAGAATTCCTAGGCTCAAGTAATTCTCCCATCTTGGCCTTCCAAAGTGCTGGGATTACAGGTGTGAGCCACAGCACCTGGCCAACAAGTCTTTTAGTTCATTAAGTATTATACTGTCTCTGGGATCATAGATGCATCCCCACAAGCCACAAGGCAGGCAAACTGTGGTTTAGTAAGTAGTATTAATGCCATTAGGTCCTGTGACCAGTTAGCTCTGTGTTCTCGTATGGGACGGCAGGACACAGCTCTGAATCTCAGCTACTCTTACAGTCCCCTCCAGGCACAGCAGAGTTCTTGGAGTAAATCACGTGTGTCGGCCAAAGCTCTTGGAGGTGGTTCCAACTCATTCGGGGCTGGCTCCACCATTGACCTATGTCCAAGCAAACGCTTGTCCCACCAAGACAAGCATTTACACAACAAACAATAATAACTGCAAACCCTTTTTAGAGGCGACTACTTCCACAAAAGGAAATGGGGGCAGGATCATGAGCACCAGGCACTTCCAGGCCCTGCACACTGACATGATACAGCTCCATCCCCACGACCCCAGAGGGTGGTATTGGGCATCTCATGCACTGTCGGAAGCAATGTCAGTTTTCAGAAATACTATGGAATCCAATCCAGAAGTAAATAGTAAGGAGATTAAAATAATGCATGTTAATTCTACTTCTCTATAAATAATCATTTATGTAAACAAACGTGTCTCCACAAAGGGTCCGTTACATTATATCACTGTTTAAAATAGCAAAAAGGCAAAAGTCTGCTCAAAGAGGATGGGCTAAATAATTATGATAAATTCACATGGTGGAATAGTTTTCAGGCATTAAAAATCATGTCTTCCTACAGCAGGCACTAGGTTGTGGGCACTCATTCTATGAGGCTATAGTTACCCAAAAGAGTTTAAAAATTATTTTTGCTGAGGATAATGGCTTCCAACTCCACCCATGTCCCTGCAAAGAACAGGGTCTTGATTCAATGCCATCCCCATTAAGCTACCAATGACTTTCTTCACAGAATTGGAAAAAAACTGCTTTAAAGTTCATATGGAACCAAAAAAGACCCCACATTGCCAAGACAATCCTAAGTCAAAAGAACAAAGCTGGAGGCATCACGCTACCTGACTTCAAACTGTACTACAAGGCTACAGTAACCAAAACAGCATGGTACTGGTACCAAAACAGAGATATAGACCAATGGAACAGAACAAAGCCCTCAGAAATACCACACATCTACAGCCATGTGATCTTTGACAAACCTGAGAGAAACAAGAAATGGGGAAAGGATTCCCTATTTAATAAATGGTGCTGGGAAAATTGGCTAGCCATAAGTAGAAAGCTGAAACTGGATCCTTTCCTTACTCCTTATACGAAAATTATTTCAAGATGGATTAGAGACTTAAATGTTAAACCTAAAACCATAAAAACCCTAGAAGAAAACCTAGGTAATACCATTCAGGACATAGGCATGGGCAAGGACTTCATGTCTAAAACACCAAAAGCAACAGCAACAAAAGCCATAATTGACAAATGGGATCTAATTAAACTAAAGAGCTTCTGCACAGCAAAAGAAACTACCATCAGAGTGAACAGGCAACCTACAGAATGGGAGAAAATTTTTGCAACCTACTCATCTGACAAAGGGCTAATATCCAGAACCTACAAAGAACTCAAACAAATTTACGAGAAAAAAACCAAAAAACCCCATCAAAAAGTGGGCAAAGGATATGAACAGACATTTCTCAAAAGAAGACACGCATACAGCCAACAGGCACATGAAAAAATGCTCGTCATCACTGGCCATCAGAGAAATGCAAATCAAAACCACAATGAGATACCATCTCACACCAGTTAGAATGGCAATCATTAAAGTCAGGAAACAACCAGTGCTGGAGAGGATGTGAAGAAATAGGAACACTTTTACACTGTTGGTGGGATTGTAAACTGGTTCAACCATTGTGGAAAACAGTATGGCGATTCCTCAAGGATCTAGAACTAGAAATACCATATGACCCAGCCATCCCATTACTGGGTATATACCCAAAGGATTATAAATCATGCTGCTATAAAGACACATGCACACGTATGTTTATTGCGGCACTATTCACAATAGCAAAGACTTGGAATCAACCCAAATGTCCATCATTGACAGACTGGATTAAGAAAATGTGGCACATATACACAATGGAATACTATGCAGCCATAAAAAAAGATGAGTTCATGTCCTTTGTAGGGACATGGATGCAGCTAGAAACCATCATTCTCAGCAAACTATTGCAAGAACAGAAAACCAAACACCGCATGTTCTCACTCATAGGTGGGAATTGAACAATGAGATCACTTGGACTCTGGAAGGGGAACATCACACACCGGGGCCTACTATGGGGAGGGAGAGTGGGGAGAGATGGCATTGGGAGTTATACCTGATGTAAATGATGAGTTGATGGGTGCTGACGAGTTGATGGGTGCAGCACACCAACATGGCACAAGTATACATATGTAACAAACCTACACGTTGTGCACATGTACCCTAGAACTTAAAGTATAATAAAAAAAAAAAAAAAAGAACATAGTCTTATTCTTTTTTATGGCTGCATAGTATTCCATGGTGTATATGTACCACATTTTCTTTATCCAGTCTGTCACTGATGGGCATTTAGGTTGGTTCCATGTCTTTTCTATTGTGAATAGTGCTGCAGCAAACATACATGTGCATGTATCTTTATGACAGGATGATTTATATTCCCTTGGGTATATACCCAGTAATGGGATTGCTGGGCCACATGCTATTTCTGCCTCTAGGTCTTTGAGCAGTCACCATGCTGTCTTCCACAATGGTTGAACTAATTTACACTCCCCACCACCAACAGCGTAAAAGCGTTCTCTTTCTCCACAACCTTGCCAGCATCTGTTGTTTTTTTGACTTTTTAATAATAGCAGAATGGCTATTTTTAAAAAGTTAAAAAACAGAAGGTTCACGCAAGTACTCAGCATCACGCAAGTACTCATGCAGGGACATGGACGGAGTTGGAAGCCATTATCCTCAGCAAACTAATGCAGGAACAGAAAACCAATCACCACATGTTCTCACTTGTAAGTGGGAGCTGAATGATAAGAATACGTGGACACAGGGAGGGGAACAAACACACTGGCGCCTGTCAGAGAGGAGGAATGAGGGGAGGGAGAGCATCAGGAAGAACAGCTAAAGGATGCTGGGATTCATACCTAGGTGATGGGATGATCTGTGCAGCAAACCACCATGGCACATGTTTACCTATGGAACAAACCTGTACATCCTGCACATGTACTCCTGAACTTAAAATAAAAGTTGAAGAAAAAATATAAAATAATTTTTAAATAGCCATTCTGACTGGTGTGAGATGGTATCTCACCATAGTTTTGATTTTCTGCACAGTATTTTTGACACCTCTCTCAATGAGAACTATGTTTATAATCACATTTTTGAAATGAACAAAGTGGAAATTCAAAAATAAAAAAAAATTTAAACTTTTTTGGGTAACTATAGCCTCATAGAGTGAGTGCCCAGCAACCTAATCCCTACCCTAGGAGGACAAGGCCAGCGTGGGTGTGGAAATCCTGGTGTGCCTGCTCAGCATTTCATGTCTGTAGACCAAGGCTTCCTCTACTAGAAAAAAAGAAGTTTTGACAAGATAGTCTGAAATTTCCTCCCTGTCCTAAAATATTCCCTTTTAAGTCATATCTTATTTAAATCACTGAAATATGCAAAGGATGAACTGAGACTCAAACTCTAACAAGTGTTCTCAAGGGTGATTTCAGAATTGTTGCTTAATCCCACTCCCAGCCCCACATGGAGAGGGGAAAACAGGTAAAAGGTGTCAGGATGATCACAAATCATTTCCACGCTCTTTATTAAGGTAGCCCTGAAATTCAGTGACTGCCAGAATTGCTTTCTAGTTGGAAACTTGCCCTCTCGTCCTTGGCAAGTTACAATTTAAGGTGAGTAAAGTAATACATTTGACTTATTTTAACTGCCCTCAAGGGCAGACTCCAAGAAAGCAGCAGAACGATTCTGCAAGCTGGTGCTTGTGAACAATGCTGGGGCTACTGGCTACTCCAAAGACACAGAGAAGAGCAGCTTCTGTCAGATGTAGAGGGAAGCACTTAACTAGTGCTGGCGCATTCTATGTATTTTATCATTTAGTCCTTACAAAAAGCTTCTGAGGTATCTATTATCATCTCCATTTTACAGGTGAGAAGATTTAAGAACAGCAATATTGCAACTCAGAGAAGTAGATGCCCTCAAAATAACTCACTTGTGTAATAATCCACAAAATAAGTCCATTTTAAGTAAAAACGTTGAATTCTAAATATCAACAGACTATCTGACTTAAAACTGTGGTTTTTATTGCTTATAAAAAAGGAATGTCTCTTTAAACAAATTAAATGGTTATTTTTACTAAGAATCAAGTGATAAGAACGGTGTGATGGAATGTTCTGTCCTGTAGACCTCATAAATGTCTATCAAGTACAAAAATGTTGAGAACTTGGGACAAATCTTTAAATTTAGCATTATAATTAGCTTCAACATTGCATAACTCTAAATAACTTTTCCTGAGACCTGTCTTTTCAAACCCCCCCAAAACAAAAGGAAAATGAAAACTTCAATTAATTGCACAGTGTGCCTCAAAGATGACTATCTCCCTCCGCACATCTTAGCCTCTCTTCACTGCCTTCCGCCACTTGGTTACTTAAGTGCTTTGACAAGTATGACAAGCTTGCACAGCATGTTCTGACTTCAAGAGCAACACAGCTCTGCAGGCATTCCCTTCTAAACATTGCTTCTGTAAAACTTCAATTATTCTATGCCGACATTTACATTTTTACCAAGTTGGCCAATTTATTCCATTATTAGTTGGTAGAAGCGAACACTTACTTCCTTCAACTTCCTTATCTTTGCAGGTTTTCGGGGAACTATATGAATATAACTGCAAAAGAAGAAAGAAGAAAACATCATTAGAAGGAAGATATTCACACAGAAAGTTCCAGACTCTTTAGAAATGAGTCCTTTTCCGGCTTAATAGATACAACCCCACAGCAATTTGGAACTAGAATCTAAAATTGTCTCGGTGTTAGAATCCACATCAGAATACAATAGCAATGCTGTTGTAGGACAGTTTTCACACTGGGTACTACTGGCACTGCCCCTTGAAAGTGTCTCTTAAGTGACATTGCTTTCCCTCATGTAATTTTATTAAAGAGAAACCTGAGAAATCATCGAATTCAACAGCATTTTTTAACCAGGTTGCTGAAGGCCCAGAACTGCAAGCTCATCAGTGTTCCCATGACAGGCTAAGGTCGGACCAGAAACCCAGACTCTCCTCCAGCTCCTCTGCAGCCCCACTGCTCCCTCCTGGTTCACAGAAATTCAACACTGCTCCCCTTTTGCCAAAACTGCAAACTGGAAAAGAGTCACCAGCATAAAATGTGTCTGAGCCCTACTAACGCAATGTTTTTTTACTGTTGGGGACTTTGGGGACTTCCATGTTCCTCAAAAATAAAATGTTTTCAGGGTAATAAATAATACCTTCAAATTTATATGTGATACTAAGGTTTCTTCCTGATTTAAAAAAAATACGTATTTGAGATTGTTATTATTTTTGATAGTCTTAGCAATATTTAGAGAAGGGTCAACTTATACTGGTAAATAGAAGGGGAAGAAATAACTAAGTGTTCAATAAAGAGTCACAGACGCAGATCCCCACAGAAACTGGTCAAGTAAATGATGACACTCGCCAAGGGTGGTCTCAGGGACTGGTGGGGGCTGTGGCCAGTGGGAGCGTCCCTTCCCTTCTGGGGTGGACAGGGCCTCACACATCCAGATAGTGGAGATGCGCGCAACTACAACCAAGTCCTCTGAACAATCAAATCCTCTATTTTTTCCAAGGGAGACCAAAAGTTCATATTATTACATGAATTCTCCCAAATATAAAATGCTGCAGCCAACTCAAATCTTCGAAAATTGTGTGAACCAAACAAAACATGGCTGCTGGCTGAGTTCGGCCTGAGCCTCTCCACTTGCCTGGAGGCCCTTGTAGCCACTCTTCACTAGCTAGTCTAGTTTTCATCTTTTCCAAATAAATATTTTAAATTTGTTCTAAATTCCCAAATTCCATCTTTGTTTATGAACACTAATCTCCCAAATGAGACATCTGACTTTCATTACATGGAACCAAAAAATAAAATTTAACACAGAAAAACACATAAAAAGATCCTACAAAAACACAAAATACTATTTATTATTTCAATGTTGCGCTCCCAAGAACATACAAAAACAGAAAGAAAAGACAAATAGTTCCTCAGAGAGCCCATGACCTGAGGTCTTTAACCCAGGCACTTAGAGAAGCCTGCTGGGTGGGCTTGGCGTGCCTTGAGGTGGGCAGGGAGTGGGTCTGTGAAGCTGAGATGGGATCAGCAGGTGCAAGCTCCCTCCTGGCTACTTCCAGAGAACAAAGGAAGAGAAGAAACCATCCATGAGAACCAGTGCCAGGCACTTTACCGTACGGCATTCATTCCATTCTCCCAACCATACCGCAGAATGGATGTTAAGCCTGCTTTATTGATGAGGACACCAAGTCTTGGAGAGGTTATTTAACTTGTTAAACATTACTCAGGTAGAGAAAGCCAGGATTAAATTCCACCAGTCTCTGGCTCTGAGGCTCTGAAGCCAGCATTCCCGTCATCTATCACAACTTTTACTCTTTCTCCTGTCATCTGCTAGTTCCCAGGTACAAATGGGTGGCCAGGGAGATGAGAAGAAAAAGCTGGGTTGAGGAAGAATGAGGATGGTTTGATTCAAATAGCACATTCACACTCATGTCTCAGCAACCAGCTCTAAGGTAAACAGGGTAATGTTCCTAAGCATTCAAATTCTTTGGGGTCCCGCCCCTAAACACACACAGACACATACACGCACACACACACATGCGTGCACACATACGCAACACCCTGATTTAGATTTTGTTGTAAATATGACTTTCTCCACAAAAGAAATATTAATTCTAGGCTATAAAGCCTAGACACTTTAAATTGTTTTGAAAAGTAAATATTATAATATTTTGTTTTATAAAGAAAAAAATTATGTTCTTTGGGTCTCAAATTATTTTATTCCAGGAAATGTCTGAGTAATGATTGGATATTGGATAGATTTGTTGATGTTTGTCTTTTTAATGCACCATCTCGAAAACACTATTACGAGGGGAGCTCCCGGATCACTAACATATCAACAGGCTTCACTTCAAAGTCCATTTGCTGGTGACACAATTAGAATATTGTTTTCCGGTGAAAATTAATTGCACTGCTCAATGGTTTAGCAATTACAGAATATAAATTTCCAAGAGCTAGTTTACTTTACTAATACCAGTGAAAATCCAGCCACACTTTTCAGAGCTTTGCTCACCAAAGTCTGAATTCCAATTTCATACTCAATGACCTAAAAGAAACTGAAGAAAAGGAACCCCACGTGCTCTCTGTGTTGACCTTCACATGCAGACACGGCTCATCTATTTTACAGTACTGAAGATGCATGGATAATAGATAACGCAAAATAACCCAGGCTGTCTGCCACACGGACCCTAATTCCCCTCCCTCTGCAGTGGGTGACATGTCTTTCCTCCCAAAAAGTAATCATAAACAGTAAAAGCACTGGGAAGAAAAACATCTCAATTTTTTCTCAATACTTTTGCTACATGTCCAAAACATTTTAAATAAACTAGGAGACTGGAGACTCTCTCTACAAAACTGGAGGTATAACAGGGTCTGCTGGAAAACGCCTAGCCCCACAGCAAGAGGAAAGAGGAACATCTCCCAGGCATGCTCCAGGCTTCGTGGCAGGCGCTTGGTATGTCTCCTTCCCCGTTTGCTAACATGTAAAACATAGGCCAGTTTTACAAGGAAATGTCTTAGGATAAAGTTAAATACTTTTCATTATATGTGTATCAAAAAGGACTTTAAAGTCAGTTTTTGTAGAAATATACTATTTAATTGTAAAACAACACTCAGCACTGGATCCTGGGTGAGACGTCTGTTCTAGATATTGACATCATCTGCCTCGCCCAGAAAAAATAATCACAAATTACATGGCTCTAAAGGAATATAATTTTGTCCACGAATTCTCATACATAACAGGATTATCATAGTAATAAATTTCACTCTGAAATATGCTAATCCAGATTCTACCTCTTAGCAACTGTGATGCCTGTGACTTACGATTTTTCTTCAGAAACAACTGAATAGTAAATTCTCATCTTTGCAAATACCACTAAGAATTTGGAACCATACACCAGCCCTCACACTAAATCCTACTACTTTTTCAAAAAACAACAAACAAAACTCAAGATGCTGATTTAATTCAGAGCATTTTTGAACTGGGAGCATTTGAAAGAAAATGGAAATCCTCTCTGGGCAATCTCACTTTTATCTCAGCCCTCGAAGAATGTCCCTACACAAAGCTATACAAAAGGAGTAGTTCACAGTCAAAAAATAAGGACACCTACAAGGAAATAAAGGACCAGGAGAGAAAAGCAGCTGAGATCACAGAAAGCAGACACAGGCTGCAAGAACGGGATTACAGACACAAACCGAGGGAGGGCAATAGTCTCATTAATTAAAGGCAAGCTTGAAAATGCACGCAGGCCCAGGTGATGAACACAGAGTTAGAGGGGCCACCCTGAGCGATTTCAAATGGGAACTGCCCAACCCGCCCCATTCCCAGGCTCTGCCCCCACGTCCCCCATGTCCCTCCCCCCGCCCTTACGCCCCTCTCCACCCCCCCCCCGTTTCTGCCCCATGCCCCTCCCCCCCACGCCCTCCGGGCAGTCTCTGGAGCCGTCCTGATTCGCCCTGCCCTGCCCCATAGGAAGGGGCCCTGGGGGTAGGGCTGCCTCGGCTTCGCCCCCAGAAAACCACGTGGCCTGGGGCGGCCTGACTCTGGCGGTGCTTGACCCACTCCAAAGACGGGCGCCTGAGCCGGGAGGGAAGCCTGGAGAGGACACCTCGGGGGTACGGCCCTGACCACGCTCAGACCCAAGAGGGCGCGGGGGGCGCGGGGGGCGCGGGGGGCGCGGGGGGCGCGGGGGGCGCGGGGGGCGCGGGGGGCGCGGGCGCACTTACTCGAGCTCCTTGAAGCGCTCGCGGCCCGCCGCCACGTACTTGCCGCCCGCCTGCAGCGCGTCCAGCTCCAGCACCCGGTGCCCACGCGTGGGCGTGAAGAGGCGGCGCACGCCGAACGGGACGTCCACCTGCTCCGTGAGCTGCTCCAGCAGCGCCTCGAAGGTGGCCGCGCGGCGCCGCGACAGCACGAACTTCTTGCCCACGTAGAACGGGTCCCCGTTGCGGTACACCACGATGGTCTTGGCGGGCGTGGTGTCCACCAGCGCGGAGGGCCCGCGGGTGCCCATGGCCGCGCCCCGCTCCTCGCTCGCCGGGGCCGGGAGGCTGCAGAGCTGCGCCCAGGCCCAGGCACCGCCGACGGAAGGTCCTCTCCAGCCGCGGGCGCGGGACGGGGACGGGACGGGGACTGGACGGGGCTGCTAGGCGGGCGGAGGCTGCGTGTTGACGCGACCCTGGGCGATTGTGACCGCCTGGCCGCCAGGGCGAGGGGCGCGAGGCTGGGGCAGGAGGGGGGCAGCGGGGAGCCCGGGCAGGTGAGGGGCGGCACCGGGCAGGGACAGGTGATTGGGTAACGGGGAGACCAAGCAGGTGAGACAGGTGAGGGGGCAACGCGGAGCCCGGGGAGGTGACTGGCGTGAAGGCAGAGCCCAGGAAAAGGAGGAGGAGGAGGAGGAGGCCAGAATGATTGTGCTGCGCTCCCTGGGACGCCCACCGTGCCCCCTCCCCCTACACTCACCGCCCTCCTCTGTAGAAGCGGTAGAGAGGGGCGTTATGGAGGGACCAGGACCATATTGACAATCAACACTGGATGGGTGCTGGGAGCTGCTTCACATTTTTGAACCTCTGTTTCTTTGATCTTGGGTTGAATTTGACCGGTTCAGACCCAAAATCTTCTAGGACTCCTGGCCCAGAGTGGAGAATTTGAGCTTTTCCACCAGAGGAGGAGCTGTGCAGAGCCACTGGAGCTTGTGAGGGGCAGCGCTATAGCCACTGGTGTGCAGTGTCAGGCGTGTGCCATTCAGAACGCACCCTCACTGTGGTTAAGAATGATTCAAAGGGAGAGGGGATCTTTGGAAGAATCGTTCCTACTCTGGGTAAAGATAGGCCAGTCCTCTTGAGTGATTCTAGAAATATATTTTCCCAAAGGTTTTGATGAGCTTGACAAAGTTTCAAAGACAGTAGGCTACATGTTATAGCTGGAAGTCCACACCGAAGGTACAGAATATTGATACTATCAATATCAATATCTTATAATGCTAAAAAAAAAAAAAAGTAGTTCCTTAGAGACCACCATTCACAGCCATAGCCAGTATGTAAGCTACCAAATGCCTCATAGCAACATTAAATACAGAGATCCATTTATGAGATGACCACTTTATTAAATCACCAGGTGTTCAAAACACTTGAAAAGAAGACTATGACTGGGAAATTCCTGCTGTGTGTCTGACACCGGGACTTTGTGTGTGTTAAGGGTTTGCTTTGAAGCCCACCGAGAACTTCATCATGGGCTTCTCCCGGGGCCTCAGGAGGCAGATGGAGCTGGGGAAGCCCCGGAGCCGAAGGCGGCTCACTCCCCCGTCGGGGACGATGGTGAGCCTGGCGTGAGTGATGACATCTTGGAGCTCCAGGGTCAGGCTATCGAACAGGTGACTTTGGTTGGGAGACAGCTGAAAAGCAAGCAGATGCAGAGGTCCTAGTCTGTTAACAGGGCTTGTGTGGCCGAATGAGCCCATGCCCCAGGCAAACCTTTGGCTTGGACTTAAGCGAAGGGGCTTTAAAATAAGTTATTAATTGATGATAATTTGGCTTTCCATGAAAATCTGCTAGTAGGGATAGGATGCCCAAATAATACATGAATAATCAGGCCCCAATAAACAATTGATGGGCAACCTAAATGCCCACCAATTGTTTCTCATAGTTGATTATACATAAGCAAATTGATAAGAAAATGAAAGAAGAGATCATCTTGGTCTCTCCCAGAGATTATTCCCTATCTTTACATGGGAGCAGCTCTCACCTCCAGCCTGACCCTCTTTCTAAATCAAAGAAGACACTTGTGGAATATCTCAGAGCGTCCACCTGCAGGTCCATTATAGCTTTAAATGTGCTAGTAGCCCCTTCTACAAAGTTAAACATAATGCAGAGACATGTTTCCATGTATGTATTCTGAGCACGTAACAATTTTGTTCTAACAAAATTTGGAAATACTAAAGTGGAGAGAAATAGAGCCTTTCTTCTTATTTAAGTTTTCAGATAGGGGTTTTAAGCCTCATTCATTTCACCATTAAACTGAGCAGAAACCTTGGAGTGTATCCTAATCCTTCAAAAGAGAATCTTAGGGAAATAGCATAGTCTGAGTGCTGGTTCCTAATAACATGCCACACAAACCTTGGTCACTGGAAGCAGTGGTTTCCACTTGTGGGCCGGGAGAATCCACTTTTGCTTGATCATGTCTTCTTCTTCCTGAGTGGTCAGGACGCATCCATCCACTTTACAGCTGTCAGGAGCATTGCCTGTTGGAGCAAAACACAGCATGATTTTCTGCCCTCATTTACATTCAGTTTGGCATATAGGACATCATGCTTTTTTAATAAGATCAAAAACCCAGCAAAGAATAAGTCCCTGCTCTTCCTGAGCAAAAGCAAAGGTATGAAGTATGTGAGAGAAGGAACAAACTGGTTTGTGATGCTCAGATTGCCTCATGAAATAGACATTTCTTTTTCAGAAGACTCAGAAGCAGTCCACCATATGTGAAGGGGCTGGCGCATTTCAGTTTGAATGTATAGCGTTCTCACTTTGAAATCTGAATGTATTTGATAAGCTTCCTCAATTGCAGATTTAATTACTTGCAGACTGCTATGTGGCTCATCTGAAATTATTATGAAGCTGGAAAATATTTTCCTATGACATATTTCTTAACATGACAATCAAAAGAAAATACTGAGTTTTATGTTAGTTAGCGCTGGGCACCAGCCACACACATGTATTTGGGAATTTCTGAGTCATCTTCAGGTGAGAGTATATGGTCCTGAGATTCTTCTGTCTTTGGAATATCATAGGAATCGTGTGCTCAGTGGGGTTAGAGGACCTTGGGGGGAAGGTCCCACTCTCTTTGAGAAGAGAGAACTTCTGTTGGGGCTCTTTAGGATCGACAGAGTAGGAGCTGCTAATTAAGAACCCTGGAAAAGAGGAGGCTGTGGCTCACATGCCCCCTTTGTGGCCCATCTCTCAAAACGGTGGTCTCCAGGGTGGGCGAACATGCCCCTGGGGTACATACGGACACAAAGGATGCAGGAAGAGAACATTAGAGCTGCTATTTCTATTTGTCTGATATACATACATATGCGAATGTATATTAAGCTTTGTGTATTTGATATAACTTACTATATTATTGCTATAAGTGGATACCGCCATGATCCCTCATTTCCATTACAGTCATCATATTGTATGTACCAGAGGTATTCTGAATGATCGACAGTGGTAGATTCATGACCTGTTGCAGTTTTGGGTGCCTGCTTAAGTGGATATACTGTTTGTTATCTAGTTTTATCTAAAGCATCCCTCACAAAAATAAGTAAGTTATTTTAAACCATTCGTGCAGAGAACTGTGGATTAAATATACCACAAAAAATGCAAGTATGTATGAACAAGAAAATCCATAACTGCCACTTCACCTGACCCTCAGTCAGCCACATTGAAAAGTAAAAACCATGGCCACATAACCGGATCTAAAATGCAGTCTTAAAAAAAAACAAGCAATGGGGAAATGACTCCCAATTCAATAAATGGTGCTGGGATAACTGACTAGCCATATGCAGAAGATTGAAACAGGACCCCTTCCTTACACCATATATAAAAATCAAGATGGATTAAAGACTTAAATGTAAAACCCAAAACTATAAACACCCTGGAAGATAAGTTAGGAAATACCATTCTGGACATAGGAACTGGCAAAGATTTCACGATGAAGATGCCAAAAGCAATTGCAACAAAAGCAAAAAAAAAAAAAAAGACAAATGGGATCTGATTAAAGAGCTTCTGCACAGCAAAATAAACTGTCAACAGAGTAAAGAGACAACCTATGGAATGGGAGAAAATATTTGCAACCTATGCTTCTGACAAAGGTCAAATATCCAGAATCTATAAGGAATTTAAACAAATTTACAATCAAAAAACAATCCCATTAAAAAGTGGGCCAAGGACATAAACAGATGCTTCTCAAAAGAAGACGTACATGCAGCCAACAAGCATATGAAAAAATGGCCGACATCACTAATCATTAGAGAAATGCACATCAAAACCACTGGGAGATACAATCTCACACCAGTCAGAATGGCTGTTATGAAAAAATCAAAAAATAACAGTTGCTGACAAGGTGGTGGAGAAAAGGAACATGTATACACTGCTGATGGGAGCATAAGTTCGGTCATTATGGAAGATGTTGTGGCGATTCCTCAGAGAACTAAAAACAGAATTACCATTTGACTTAGCAACCCCATTATTGGTATATAACCAAAGGAATATAAATCATTCTGCCATAAAGACATGTACATGTATGTTCACTGCAGCACTGTTCACAATAGCAAAGACATGGAATCAACCTAAATGTCCATCAATTGTAGACTGGCTAAAGAAAACATGATACATATACAACATGGAATACTATGCAGCCATAAAAAAGAATGAGATAATGTTCTTTGCAGCAACATGGATGCATGCAGCTGGAGACCATTATTCTTAGCAAACTAACACAGGAACAGAAAACCAAATACCATATGTTTTCATAAGTGGCAGCTAAATAATGGGAACACATCGGCACATGGACACTGGGGCCTAATTGAAGGTGGAGGGTGGGAGGAGGGAGATCAGAAAAAAATACTTATTGGGTACTATACTTGATACCAAGGTGACAAAATAATCTGTACACCAAAACCCCATGACACAGGTTTACCTACATAACAAACCTGCACATTTACCCTTGAACCTAAAATAATAGTTAAAAGAAAAAATAGATAAAATGCCGTCTTTCCAAAATAAGTTAAAATTACCAAGACTTCCTGAAATAATTATAGGCACTACTGTTGATGAGCCTGGCCTTGAACTTGATATAATGGTTAATAATTGAGTAAAGTCACAATAATTCCCAAGACATTTAAAAACCACTCACCCAAAACATGAATATAAACTGCCACTATTTATTCAAAAATGGCTAACATGGAATGCTCAATCCAGTACTTATAAAATGTCACATAACAATTATAAAATTGTATCAACTTCTTTTGAATTGTCTTAATA